AAGTTCACCTATAGGTGTGCTTTTGAGCAGAAGCGCCCTCACATATGAATCTACAAGATCGCTTGTAGTCTTGTAAGTTAATTAGGTACGTGAGCGCCTCAAACAAAAAGCACTTATGTAGCCTCATTTATTTTTTTTAGGGGAAATTAATTATTTGAATTTCATAATTTTAATTTAATTACAATTCAATTTTTAAACTTTAACTCATTATAATTCAAGTTTTAAAATTTTGACTTAATTGTAACTTAGTCCTCAAACTTTGTTTCAGTGTAATTCAATATTTATAGTTTTAACCATTAAAAGATTAGTTCCTATATATTAGAAGATAAAATTATAAAGATTAAAATTATTTTAAAACTTTAATCTTTATGATCTTTATGAAGATTAAAAGGTTTATTAATTTAAAATAGCAGTCCCTAAATGTCAACATAATTTTAATTTTCACAAATTTATTTTCAAAATATATGGATTAATATTTTAAATGGTTAAAATTATATGAATCGAGTTGCATTGAGTTAAAGTTTAGAGACTCAACTACAATCGAATTAAAACTATAAAAACTGAGTTAAAAAAATTAAAATTCAAAAATTAAATTATAACTGAATCAAAACTATATAGACCAAATGTTTAATTTTTCTTTTTTATTATAAGGGCTCCTACAATTTATTTATTTATTTATTTGTTATAGAAATGCTTAAATACTACTACAGATTCCTAAAGCTCATTTGAAGTTTGTTTGCAACTGCTGTTACATTTCAAGACTTAATCCTTTGCCAAATATATATTTATTGTAACTAGTCCTTACTTGAAAATTTTCTCTTTTTTGAAAAACCATCTTAGCTTTTCAAGTTTGTCATGTAACTTGCTAACAGATAGCTGGGAAGGAAATTTTCTTGATTTTAATAACAATTTTTATTTTTTTATATTGGAAAGATAATTGATATATTTTATTTTTAATTTTCTAATAATTTTTTTGAGATAATATATTTTATCTCATTTTTCTAACAGGTTCTACTATCTTTTTATTGCATCCACATGTACTTGATCCGTGAGGCCAGTCGAAACATGATTGCGTTTTTGGCTCAGAGCTTTGTGAGTAATGAGCTTAAACCACAATTCAATGAGCCCTACCTCTCTACCTCCCTTCAAGACTTTTGCAGCCGAAGATGCAACCTTGTGATCGTCAAGATTTTAAAGCCCACTGTGCGTGCACCCATCTTAAGCTTGGCCCAGATATATTGGGCCGTATTTGGGCCACTTTTCGGCAGTTGGGGCCACGTTCTTGGTTTCTGGGCTAATGCAAGAGCTCATTCTTTATTAAATTGGAAGCGTGAAGCCTACGTGGAGGTCACGCGGTTCTTTGTATTGCAGGGGTTTTGTACGCTCGTTGAGTTGCGTTTAAAGGTAAGCATTACCGCCGCGCTCCGGTTGCCGAGAGTGATGTCAGGAATTTTGACAATTGGATTTTTTATGAATACCGCTTTTTAGCTGTTTGAAAAAAATTATGAATGACAATTTTATTTTATTTATTATAAGAGATATTCTAATCTTCTAATTTATATTTAATCATAAAAAAATAAGTATTTCCTGTAATTATTTCTTCATACCATATATAATTTTAAAGTTTCATTTTCACTCGCAATCTTACATCCAATCCCAATTCTACTCTCGGCATGAGTAATTGAGGTCTTGCGATTGAGGATCTCATACTTGAGAATGATGATTGAAAATGGCTGCCATGGGTGGAAGACAATGTTGATGCCAAAGTTGGGAACAAGTCTGACGAGGGAGAGGGATGGAGTAAGGGGCAATTTGGTCTAAAGATTTTCAATCCTGGAGTTGATTTTACAATATGGAGATGGTACTAGGTAGTCTTACCTAGATGGAATTGGGTTTGGCATTATAATTTTTATTGGCACTTACCAAATATAAAAATGAGATTACTCAATTCTAGAGTTGGGAATACAGGCGGGCTCGACCCTTAAGGGCCTAAGCTCTAAAGCTCGGTTTTTTATTTTAAACCTCATTTCTCAAACTCGGCTCATATGTGAAGGGCTTAGGGTTAGGCCTGCAAGCTCTTTTTCAAAAAAATAAAAATAACAAAAATAAAATTAAAATTATAAATAAGTTAAAATATTCTAAAATTAAAAAAATAAAATTTTCATAATTTTTTAAAAATTAAACAACACACATTTAGAAGTCTAGTAATAAAATTTAAATCTTGGTTAAAAAAATTTCACTTTTTATAAATACACAAACATAATAATTATAAAAAAAATAAAAAATATCAAGAATTTTATACTATATACTGATATTTATTAAATTATATTAAATTAATTTTAAAATAAATTAAAATTAATAATAATATAATGTATAGGATCATGTGAGCAAGCCATTGGCTTCAAACACGTGTTCTACCAAAGAAAAAAAAATAATAATAATAATAATATAACAGGGCTTGAAGAGCTACTCGAGCCTGAGTCATTTTTTACAGGGTTTATCAGGGCTAAGCCCTCAATCCCGATTACTTTAAAAAAAATTATTTTTAAAGTTCAAACCCTTATTTAAATAGGACCTCCAAGTCCAACTCTTTAAACCTGACCCTTATTTCTGACTCTACTCAATTCTAGTCTTAAGCTTCCAATCCTTCATATCTAAGTTCATATCTAAGGAGGCCTAACATACAATCAAGAAAGGGCGCTTGTGCAATACGCGGAACTAGGCGCGCTTGTGAAGAACGTTGCTCATGCTTTCGCATCCAAAGCTTCGCCCACTGCTAGATTTTTAGTTCAATAATATAGACTAATTGAAGTACTAATCTCTCTTTAGATGGGAAAAAAATAGTTGAAAGAAAAAATATATGAAGAGAAAATTAAAAAAAATATTATCATCCATTTCATCTAGAAGGGTAAGAGAAAATAGAGAAAAAAGCAAGTAAATAAATATCACAATGACTATAATATCTTTATATTAAAATATATACTGTTTCATATAATTATAAAATATGTTATTTTTATTAAAAATAAAAATTTGACATTTTTTAAAATTAAATAAAATATAACACACACAAAGGTGTGTATTAGGTATTATATTATCCAACATTATCAAGAAAAAGTAGATTATCCAACATTATTAATAAAAAAGAACAAAGATATTTATTTTGGATGAAACTTGCACGGAAATCGACAGCAAAACATGTGGATCAATCTTCACTCCATATTTTCTTTACTTTCCTACTTTATTTTCTTTCATCCAAAACATAGCATGTTACAATATTTTACAAGGGAACTTATCATAATAATTGCTTATTTGTTATGTATCAAGGTGATTGTACAGTTGAGAATTTGAACTTGTACTTTCCCACATCATATCAGAATATATATGAACTCAAGTAAGCTAAGCTAAAATACTTAACAATTATTTTGTATTAATTAATCTCTGCGCAGTCGGAAATACGCATCAATACAATTTATAATAAAATCCAATAAACATAGATGTACAATTAGTCCAAATATAATATATATCCTAATTCAAAACCTGTATTTATAAGGTAAGTGTCCAATATTTATATAGCTTCTAAATTAAACTAAGTTGCCTAAATAATCTATCAAATTAGGATTGGCTAATTAAGTACCTATAAAATGTCACAATACCGTAAACAATCTAAACAAACTACTCGCATATATGGCTAATACTTTTAGACAGTACCCAATTCCGGAACACCATTATAGCCAACTCGATCAAGTGCTTCTTCAATTTGAGCACTATAATATCTTTTACAATAAATGTTCTTAAAATACTGAATGCAAAGTATCACAACAAAATTAAGTTACATAACTATTAAAATCGATATTCTAAGTATTGATAAATAGCTTATTAGGAATTGTGTTGCCACCCTGGGTGATGATGCGTGTCGTTCATCAATTTCATGGCGTGGTAGCCATTATCTACGCTTCTGGTTGTAGTAAAAATTGTAAATTATTGTACCGGCAAATAAATACCTTCTTGGCTCTGATCCTGTTTACAAGTCATGTCATTAAATTTTTATATCAAATTTTTTCTTTTACTCTCCATTAAATATTGAAGAGAAAAAATATATTATTGAAGTATGTATATTTAATAGAGATAAAATTAATAATTTATTAAATTTTAAGACAAAATTAATGAGTTTTAATATTTTTCTTAATACTGATAAAATATATTAAAAATAACTTATAAATAGAATCAGGAGAGTATATTACATTCCCCAAGTATATGGAATCACAAGGTTTGAATGGGAGGCTATCCTTTTTAAAACTAACTAAAAGAACATAAATCAGCTAAGCGACATCGAATTTTTGTATTTTAAAAAAACAGGAAAAGAGGCCAAAAATTTGAAGGGGGCTCAAATCAACAAATAAAGCCCAGAAGAGGACGTGCGGCGGAGAGCTTGCGTGTCGATGGCAAAGAGGGCTAAAATATCTCGTTGAATGGGAGAAGTCGGACAAAATCAGAGAGCTTATAAAATGTTTACTTAATACAAAAATAATCCTAATAAATACACGGATATATACAAATCTATATAAAATAAATCTTAATTAATAATAGATTAATTGCCATGCCTTTAAAGCATAATTTTTATTTAGTTAGTCTTGTAACGTAATTTTAGAATTGTTTGGTCCTAATTATACACTAAAAGTCTCCCAATAATTAAAATGCTCAAGAACTACGGCTTCATATTTTTTTTATTAATATTGCTTATAAATAGCAATTCAATTCAAACTATAATCGGATACTAAATGTCAACATTTTTTCAAAAATTTTTAATTCATCAAGTTGGGAGACTAGCCTTCTCTGCCAGGGGCAGGCCCTTCATCATTGTACGGACGGAAGCTACATCGATATTTAAATTGTAGTTGAAAAAAAGAAACGAATGAATCAGAAATTCAGAATCCACGTGATCCGCGAGAAAATAAAAGGGAGGAAATAGGAAGTACGACGAAAGACGTGTAAATCAGATCTCTGGATCTAAGTTAATGTTCATAGTTATTCACTTCACACATTTCTTCAACTATTCCTTTGACGAGAACTCTCAAGATCTCTAAAAGATCAAGAAACAATAATGGAGGTTGAAGGTGAGATCAACAACTTCATCATCGTATGGACTGTAGCTGCAGCATCATTGTGTTACTGTCACACAATTGGGAAGCTCATTCCCAAAGGCACACTTAGACTCATCTTCCTCCTTCCTGTAATTCTTCTCTTTCTTCTTCTTCCTCTCAGACTTACCTCCATTATTCTCGGAGGTCCCTCTGCTTTCTTCCTCTCTTGGCTCTCAACTTTCAAGCTTTTTCTTTTCGCTTTTGGTAAAGGTCCTCTTTCACCAACCCCACCACTTTCACAGCTTTCTCTCTCACATTTCATCCCTCTTGCTTGCCTCCCTATTAGGTTTCATCAGTTTCAGATCAAACCTAAAAAGTCTCATAAATCCAAGTCTCTGGTTTTGAGGATGAAGCTTCTGGTTTTGCTCACTTCTAAGCCCGTCGTTGAAAACAAAGAACGTATGAATCAAAAGCTCGCTTTGTTTTTGTATAGTATTTACATGTATATAGCATTGGAGATCATTTTGAATGCCGTCTCAGTGCTTATTACTCGAATGTTGTTTCTTGGGGCTGAGTTGGATCCACCGTTCGACGAGCCGTACATGGCCACCTCGCTGCAAGACTTCTGGGGAAGAAGATGGAACACAACGGTGAACCGTATTCTACACCCCACCGTGTACGATCCTGTCCTGGGGACGTGTAGCCTCGTGATTGGGAGAAGGTGGGCTCCGTTGCCAGCCATAGTTGCGACTTTCATGGTGTCTGGGTTGATGCATGAGCTGATATTTTATTACATCAAGCGGGAGAAGCGCACGTGGGAGGCTTGGGAGCCCACGTGGGAAGCGACATGGTTCTTCCTGCTTCATGGGGTGTGTTTGGCCGTTGAGGTGGCCATCAAGAAAGCAACGAGGGAGAAGTGGCGGTTGCCGGCGGCGGTGTCGGGGTTGATGGCGGCGGCTTTTGTGATGGCGACGGGGTTGTGGTTGTTTGTGCCGTCGCTTGATAGGTGTCGTGTGGATGTGAAGGCGTGGAGAGAGTGTGCTGCTTTCATAGAGTTCGTCAAGAATGCCTGTGGCTTCTTAAGATTCTCATGTTTTTCGGTCATAATAAAAAGATAATAATTTGATCATTTTTTATGATGTGTCATGCTGTTTGGCTTTATTTTCCTGGAATTAGATTGGCTTAAATCCACTTTAAATATTAGTTATATGACAAAATCTCACTATTTAATTAAATCAATGGATATGTTGTTGAATCACATGAGAACTATTCTTCAAATATTACAAATATCAATTGATATTTACAAATTTTATTCTAATATTCACAATTTTTTTAAATCATAAAAATTCAATAATAATTCACAAATTTGTAAATATTTGTTTTGAAGGTTGAGATTTTTATTTCAATTAAAAATAATTTGGTCTTAATTTATTAATCATAGAAAAGTCCTTACTTACTTCCTAGAGACTTTAAAAAAATTTTAGCATTTCAACATACCAAAATGTCATTTGAATAATTTAAAGAAATTTTAATGTGATTTTCTTATAAATATAACATTTCACCGTTTGATTATCATCTACATTAAATATTTTTCTCATTCGGATTTGATAAAAATAAAATAGACTTACTATGGGTAGAAATTTAAAGTACGGATACTAGAATCAATCCCAGAAATTTTCATGAAATCAGTCATGTGGGGTATCGCGTGTGAGAATCTATATCTCAGTTTATTAGGGGAGCTTAAACTTAAATACGTGTTGTCGGTAGTTCACTTTCTAGCACACGTACGTGAGCCATAACTATCATGGAGCTTACTTCTAAGCCTAGTGATAATTTTTCCACAAAAAAGTCATAAATATTAATTTAAATAATTACAAATTCAAAGTTCAAATTATAGATGGAAAATCTAAGCTTTAAATATAACTTTCATTTTACAACCAAGATTCTTATAATTATCTAAATTTACATTTATAACTTATTTTTCAAGAAAATATTATTGAAAACTTCACTATTGTTAATTTTACCTGTCATTCTTCCTAAACAGCTTCCAAGGAATCTTCCCCACAATATAGTCACCACGCAAAGCTACCATGCTGACTTTGGGAGGATTACATTTGGGCATTTTATCAGAAAATTATTGAATTTGAAGACATCCATTTACAATTATCTTTGTTTTTTTAAACAAATTTAAATGTGATCGGTTATGATATTGAACACATCTATTTATAATAATATGTTAGTTCGATATATTAATAGCCTTTTTTTTGTTTGTGTTTTTGAGTGTCAATAATTTTCTTGTACAAGCCCCATGTTAGTCTGCCCTTAGTTTTTCTCCTCCTAACGTGTATCTTTTTTAGACTTGACTGTCATTCTACCAACTGTTTAATTTCTAGGACTTTTTCTATATACAAACACTAAAAAGGAGGAAGGAGGAGGAGGAGGAGGAGGAGAGGAGTTCCACCAAGACCCAACTTGATAAAGTCCTTGTATGAGATATTTTCGGAAAATTATGTTGTGATTGATACCATACTGTGACGCGTACAGTAGTACGCTTACTCCCCACCCTAAGAAAAATGAAAAAAGCATGCTCCTAAAAAAAGCCAACTTTTATTAAATTGTCTCCGTCCATCACATTAAATTGTACCAAAAGTACAAAAGAAGCGAAGCAATGACGAGGACTACCCATCTCCTTGATTGTACAGCAACAACAACAACAGTCTTACCCAAGTGGAGAAAAAGAATAAGACTGTCCTCAAGGGGGTGATGGAGCAACCTTGCCAAAGCAGGTCCCAAACCCAACTTTGTAGCCGTTCCCCTGCAAAACAAATATTTTCACGGCTAATCTCAAGAATCCTGTGTCATACTAGAAATAGAATGATAAGATCATAAGCAGATGAAACATTACGTGCGATGCATCAAACATTTCAGCACAGAAAGTTGGATCAACTAGAATTTTAACATTGCCATGTGATTTGATTCAAATGGTACTTCCACTAGCCACAAGTAGCAAGAAGTCTTAATGCAAGTGGTTTCAATTTCTATCCTGTCTTTTTATCCAATACCTTACTCCCAATCCCTTGCAGACTCCTTGAAACCGGAAAAATATTTAATTATAAACTTCCCCAGGATATCACTGTTAAAGATTTGAAGTCATATAATGATTAGCTAGCAAAGGATCTCAAGACAAGGTTGAATGACTTTTAAACTACGCAAAACACAGAATTAGATTTGCAACATGAGGAACTGTCAATAATAAAGTTCTTCTCCGTAAAAGATGCTAAGCAGTAATTGAAGACTCAGCTCTAAAAATTAGCTCTCTAGAGTAAGCTGAGCACAAGCAGCTGTAAACGAAATGCTCACAAGAATTTAGTCACAAGATCTGAAGCAATAAAAAATATATTAGCAGTCATTTAGCTATATGTTAAGCTATCATAGTCTCTGTTGGCCACAGAGGATGTGCTGGTGCATGAGCTTGAAACTAATTCATGCACGTATTCAAGAGAGAAAAACAAGCATGATTTAAGTAATTAATTGATTGTAACCTGGCAATATCCAGTAAATATGACTTCATCTCCATCTTCAAGGTATTTCCGAGTTGCCCCATTCAACGATAGTTCCTTTTGTCCATTCCAGGTTAACTCAAGCAAGCATCCAAGGGAATCAGGCTCCTGCAGTGAAAAAGGTGAATTTCAATAAAAAAAATATATACTTATTAAACAATGATGAGTAACTCCACTTAAGTGTAAATAAAAGCATGGATCAAGCAGTTAAAATTATTTTTTTTTTTTGGGTTAAAAAATCTTACAGGTCCACTAATTGTCCCTGTTCCAAGGAGATCCCCTGGCCTTAGGTTGCAGCCATTAACTGTATGGTGAGCAAGCTGCTGAGTCAGTGTCCAGTATCTGCACAACAATAGAGACAGGTAGAATAAGAAGGCTGTATCGGTTAAAATATAAACATCATTAATAGCTTTTAAGGATGAACAATTCAAAAACAAGATACATGTCCATATGTTTGACCCAGGTTAGAAACTCATGTCAAACAGGATGTAGTGTTTTATTTCACATGGGTTATAGATATTGTTCTCATGACATGGTGTCCATATCTTTGTCAATACCCATGCTTCTTGGGAAATGGGTAAGCATTGTCATGAACACTAAGAAACAGGGACAACTTATATTTTGTTGTGTCTTGGTATTCAACACATTCCAGACTTTATATTACAATCACATCACAATCAGCCATTGAAATAGACTTCAAGGCTAGTTGATAAAAATAACTAAAACTCCTTACAAGTGCTTCAAATTACTCCGTGTCACCAATGATAAGTCCTCGTGCTCAGCTGGTTTAATTCGAACCTTGCAGCAAGAAAGAAGTTTTAATCATTCAGGAAAAAGATAGAACATTATAATACTGGCATACAAATGTAAAGAAGACTATTCGATGCATATGTAAAAAGGTGCCAACCATATATCAGTTTTACCTCCAATGAAATATCGTAGTTTTTGGACACTTTTTCAGCCAAATATGGCAGTGGAGGAGGATCCTGCATTACACGGATAGATCAGATAGGATGCACAATTTTTTGTCAAACTTAGATGCAAGATGGCCAATGGCAAAACGACTACAATACTAGTCTCCAAAGAAGGGATCCAGATACCTGTTTTGGGGCATCAGTAGCAAAAGGTTCTAATGCTTCTAAGGTCACAATCCAAGGTGATATCGTGGTACCTAATTAATTAGGCATCAAAATGTAAGGCTGCTTCCCAAATGAGCAACTTAAACCTAATAGTTTTTCACTAATATACAATATGCAATCACCCATGTTATAACATGTACAGCAAAACAATGCTGAGATCTAACTTTTCCAATAGGGATTAAAAGTATGAATCAAGTACTCTAAATTCCTTACCAAAGTTCTTGCCAAGAAAAGGGCCAAGAGGAATGTATTCCCATCCCTGAATATCTCGAGCTGCCAAGACCAGTTTAATAAACATTAAGAAAAACAACAGAGAGAGGAGGAATTTGAACCAAAAAAAATTTCAAATTGGATAATTACCACTCCAGTCATTCATCAGAACAAGTCCAAAGATATGATCAGCAGCCTCATTAATATCCACAGGTTTTCCCAGTTCATTTCCAGGTCCAATAACAGAAGCCTGTAAAATATTAGAGTATCCGTTACCAAAAGTTGTCAACGCAAAAGATGTGAACTATGAGTTTTCAATTTTAAAATGGAATTTTATGTATCACTGAGTCAAATGGCCAATTATGATCTGCACAAAGAAACGACTAACCATTTCTAACTCGAAGTCCAGCTTTAACGAAGGACCAAAATAAGGTGTGGAGCCACCAATTGGATGACCCTGACCTCTAAAGCAGCATAATATAGCATAAGATTGTGAGGTAGAAAGCATAGCAACAGAACTCATAGTACTTAGGACCATAACCTAGTAATGTAGATGTAGTTGATTTGATTTCACTTATAATGCATAAGACATAAGAATCTGATACGAATTTTACACATTACACATCCACGTAGGCATGAATTAAAAAGGCTCATGCATAAAAGGGAAAAAACTACGATTCAATATATCTCCATAGGTTCATCACCAACAAGACTCACAAGAAACAGATAGATTTTGAAAGATGCTTAAGCAAATGAACTCAATAACAGCAACGGTTCATAGTTAGCTATAAACTTCTAACCTTGGCCTGACAATATCAGTTCCAGAAATAACAACAGAAGAAGCTCGCCCATGATAGGCAACAGGCAAGTGGTACCTATGACATAAGAGGCACTTTATAAGTTAAGCCTGAAATTTACTCTTTTTTTTTTTTGTTTCAAGTAATATTCAGTCCAGATTGTAAAACCTTTCAAATCAACATACCAGTTTTCAAGAACAGGATTCTGTGGCCCACGAAAGATTATCCCACAATTTTTAGTATGATGAAGTGAACAAAAGAAGTCAGTATAGTCCCCAATGGCAATAGGAAGAAGCAATTCTACCCTGTTCTGCATATGTAGTGAAAGCAAAGTTAACTAGGGGAAAAATGATAATGCATTACCAGGTAAACCAATTAAACGAGAGTATTAATGTGCAATACCATTGGCACGAGGGATTTCTGCCTCAAAGCTGCATTGTCCCTCAGGGCCGGTTCATTAGCTACGTCAAACAACACCAGTTTAGCCAAACTAATCTAATCGACCACAAAAAGTCATCCTACTCAGTACAAATTGCACAGTTGTTGCGGATAAAGGGGCCAGAACTGCAGCCCATACAAAATTAAACTTGAAATATACATAGATGTTTAGTTATTTACAATTTCTGAGCTAATAATTTATTTAAGAGGTGAGCATTTAGTAAGAACATGAAGTTGGGTTCAACCTGATAAGAGTTTTTGAAGTGTAGCACGAGCTTCCTTCCAGGCTGGCCGTCCCAGGGATACAAACTTATTCAGATTAGGCTATAACCAGAGAAAAATGAAATCAATTAGTATAAAACCCTATCAGGAAGACAAAAGATGACACTGCCTTCAGAAACAGTAACAAATAATGTAGACAACTACTTAAAATGAAATGCCATGCTCAGAAATTATCTCTAATTGGTAACATCTAAGTGCAAAGAATGTGTCAATCATGATAATTCGATATTGGCAATCACTTTCCGCCTATTTCTTAGGGGGAAAACTAGCAAAACAACCCGAACCAATGAAGGTTTTAGAAGTAACCCAAGCGCATCTTAGAATTTTAATTCCTGACCATCATCATGATAGAAACTAACAAAAACAAAGAGTGCGAGTGAGAGACAGATGAATGAGGAACCTGGAGGAAGCAATCGGAGTTCTTGAGGAGAGGACCGTCAAAAAGACCGGCAGAGGAAAGCTCAGAGAGGTCCAAAACGTAGTCGCCGATGGCGACTCCGGGTCGAGGAGACGAACCGGGCTCGGGCTTGAAGACGCCATAGGGAAGATTTTGTATAGGAAAGTGAGAGTCAGAGTGAACTTCGACGAAAGATTGCAGAGCCATTGCTGGACCGAAACGGCGTCGTAGCCGGTGGTGGTGGTCGATGAAGAAGAAGAAGAAGAAGAAGAAGACAGTGAAGTAGGAAGAGGGTCTGGCTATTTATCTTCCACGCTCTTTTCTTCTATTGACTCTGTCTTTACGTGTACAATAATAAACAATTAATTAAATAAAATTTATTTAGTATAATTTCTCAAAAAATTGATCTCTTCCCTTAAGTCCTTCAATTCAGTCTCTCAAAAAAAAAATTAGTAATAAGATTGGGTTGTAAATTGAAATCAAATCATATTAAATGACTAACACTTGAGGGCTTAAGGGCTGAGCTGCAAGAAGTTAACTAATTTTTAAAAATATTTTTGAATTTGAATTGGAGGGCAATTCAAACCCTTTTTTGTGCGGCAAAGGACGTGATTTAATGAATATATAAACAAATTTGGCGGTTGAGTTTGGGGTTGATGAATTTTGGGAGGAGGTGCGGTTAGATATAGATAAGCCACCACCTACCCTTCCACAAGAGGCCAGGGCCCACTTTGACTAGGTAGATAGTGATGGTGTTGCATCTTGCTGGGTTCGCCGTGAATTCCTGAATTATACAAAACTCAGATAAAATATTTGGGAGAATTTTAAATGAGGTCCAGAAATGTGATATAATTACTAATGAGTCTTAAAAAATTATAAAATTTTAGTTCAATTTAAAGAAATAAAAGTAAAAATAATTCTGACTATAAAAAAATTAAATACTCTTCATTTATCATGTAGAATCATTAATTGTTAATGTTCTTACATCTCTTATTAATTTATCAATATTATTTATAAATTACATTCGTTTGTTAGTAATATTAATTATTAATTTACCAACATCATTTGTAAATTGCAAAACTTGTCAATAATTTATAATTGATGTTAATAAATTAATAAATAAAGTTAGCAATTTAATAATTGATATCGCTGCTTATGATTAACAAATAATATTAAGTTTTATATAATTATTGACATGTTAATTTATATAATTTACAATTCATATTAATAAATTGACAAATGAAGTGAGGAAATTAATAATTAGTAATTCTGTAAAACAAGTAAAGGGTACATTAATATTTTCATAATTAAAAGTATTTTCACTTTTATTCCCTCAAACTAAACTAAAACTTCAAATTTTTTTGGAACCCAGTAATTATGTTACATTTCTTATTCTTATTTAAAATTCTCTTAAGTATTTATAGATGGGGTCAACATTATGTTATATATTGTCATGAAAGGAAGAGTTGTAGTGGGTGGGTCTAAAAAAAACAACGGGGGAGATCTGTATATAAGTTCAAATAAGGAAAACAACATTTTGAGTTATTTGGGACAAAATCTCATAGATGTTTAAAGTTTCTTAACATCAAAGGTAAGGGATCACACAATTTCTCCTCTTCCTCTTCAATTTATTTGTGGGAATACATTGTCGATGATGTTTGGTGGGATGACAGTGGAGAATCTGAATTTTTGATAGAATGTGGAAGTTGTTTTGAAAGATTGAGGTAAGTTTTAGTTTTATCTTGACTCGTTTAAGTTTTTAATCGACGGATTTTTTTTTTAAAAAAAGTGATTATTTAGACAAACTCTAGGTTATTAGAAGAGGAAGTTCGAATTTCTAAAGATTTAATGAAATTTTCAAGGAATTTTTTTTTGTTAGAACAGTTGGATTGTTGCTACGTTATGAAATTGATTCAACTAAAATTTTTGGATGATAATAGTGCTATATTTAAAATTTCAGAAGGCTTAAAATTGATTTGGTTTGTTGCATTGAACTCAATATTGTTACTCTTAAAATTAGAAAAAAAAAATTGATTGTAAATGAAACGATGGGACAACTGAATATAAATGGCGATGAATTGTGTTGTTGGGCTTGTAGGCCAATCTTGACCACATTGGAAGGTTTGAATTGGTGGATTTGGTTATATATTAAAAAACAAAAAACAAGAATTGTTGGATTTGACACTCATACCCTAATACTATTGGTTGTGGTTACCCTTTCTTTTTTAAAGAGTAGAGGCAGCTAGGGTTTTGTTTCTTCCCATTCTTATTTACAAACCATTATAAATAAATGAACCTAATGATGTTAATTAGATATGGCCTTAACTGGAATTGTGGATATTGGCATGAGTAGGGAAAAACAAGCGAGTTACATTGTGATGTTGAGACTGTGTATGTATGTACACACACTATCCTGGATGAGTTGTACTGTTGACATTGACTATATATGTTTCATCCTTTTATTATCACACAGTAATGGTGCATGGCTATAAATTATTAACCCATGGCCGGATGTTAGAAGGAGCGTACAATTAATTTTAACCCACCTCACCAAACCATTTACCTTTGGTCTAGTAACAAAATGTGTTGGGATAGGACTACAATGCTCATAAATTATAGCCCACTAGGCTTCAAAAGGTGTGGGCCTAATTTTACCTAAATCCTAAACTGCAAGTAGTATATGAGAAAGGGAAGAGTTGTATGATCATAAATTGGGACTTGATCCTTGAAGCCGATCAAGTTCGTTTTGACATTATTGAACATTTGTGATTTTAATCAAAATGGTTAAACAAGGCCGGTAATATTTTAGAAATACTCAAGTTTAATATTTTCCATATGATAGATTCAGTGATGTAAGGAAGGCAGTTGACTAGTGACCTCTTGTTCTCTTCAATGCAGACCACTACATTCCCCTTAGTACTTGGTACTTGTACATATTAGCTGGAGTTTGTTGTACAAATACCAAGTGTTTAGGAATCTATTTTTACTGCATAGGGTAAAATGGTAATTAATGTATTTATAAATACTCATGAATGTTTTGTTAATTGTGCTGAATGTTGCGAACTTCAATTGATAGTATAAATAACGTAGTATAATGGAATAGTATTTGTTGTGTTTAGTGAGAGGGGAAGCCCCTCCACTGCAGCAATAGATTAGTTTTATTTATGTTCGAGCTCCTCAAATATGGTCTTGAAAGTTCATGTGTTGACTATGGCAATAGATTGATTTTATTAAGATTTTAGTTAAAATTGAGTTAAGGGTGTTACAGATTGGGAACCTTCAAGTTAATATGTAATAATTTATAATTCTTTTTTCAAAATTTATAAATCCTCCTTTAAAATTTTTTAGCTCAACTATTGTATTTAAAGATTTATATATAAATGCATTTTTTACACTAGTTGAGTTGTAAATTAAAACTATGTGATAAATTATACGTTTTTCTTTAAAATCTATAAGTCTTTCTAGTTGAATTGCAAGTTTGGTTGGTTTATCTAATTATAGATGAATTTTTGGGATATTTTTAGTATGAGCAATTGAGGTTTTTTTTGGCTAAGGAATGAATTTGGTTAAAAATCTTAGGTGATAAGGCCCTTTTATCTAGAATTTCATATTAAATGAATTTGATTTGAGTTATTATTTTAAAGGAAAATATCATTAAAATCCCTTTAAATTATTTAAATAATATTTTGATCCTTTGAAATGCCATAATTCTCCTAAAATCCTTAAGAACTTTTCTATCATTAAGAAATTAATATAAAATACCAAATTACCCTTGATTAAAATAAAAATCTGAAGCCTTAGAATAGATACTTCGCATGCTTTTCTACTTTTGCTTCTTCTTCCCCTTCTTCTTTTTAATGTTTTTTTAGTTGCTTAAACTTTGCAACTTGCCAAAAGACAAAGATATAAGTGACCATTCTTCCTCTATTAGCTTGCATTGGGGTAAAATAAATTTCTTCTTCTCTTATGTTGATTTAGGTATTGATTTCTATGTGGGGTAAATTTCTTCTCCGATCCATGAAAATTGAAGTTGATGTGAGTAACCTTAAAGTTGAAGTTAAAGTTGATGTGCTTAAATGATTAGGATCTCCATTTCTCTACATGTGTAAGGATTGAATCATGTAGGTAGGAGTACGGACTCTGTATGAATAAATGTTAAATGATATTATTTTTAGTTGTGCTGTAAATACATAAACCAAAGTTGTTAATAATAAATACAAAGTTGTAAATATAAGAAAAATAATTGTTGTTGGATAAAACATAACATTTATATAATTATGATGTTTAGAAAATAGACATGTTGATGAACGGCTGTTTCATGGTTAAGGTCTAAATTTATCCTTGTGCTTATTTTTTAAAAGCACTAGACACCCTATACTCTTAAGTGGGGTAATTTTACCCTTAAACTATTTTTTTGAGAAGCAAAAAACCCTTTATTAATGAATTGTTAACTCTACCATTATATACTGACGTGGCATGTGCATAGGCTCATGTATAGTGTGACACGTAAGACTTTGACCATGTTCTTTAATACTAATTAGCCCCTGAACTATTTTTGTACGAGTGCTGAGCACCCTAAAGTCTTTTTTTAGGAGTGCTGGACTCCCTGAAATCTTGTTAAAATAAAATTTAATAAATATTATTAAAATATTGAGTATTTTAATATTTAATAATTTAAATATTATTATTTAAAACATTATGCCACCCATTTAATATTTTTAATATTTTATAATTTTGTATTAAAAATGAAGGGAATGAACCTCAAATTAATGAAGGAATTTTTTCTTTTATTTCTCTATTTTTTTCTTATTAATAACTTTTTTGTAGCATATTAATGGAATAAATGATATCTTTTAAATAAATATTTTTGTTGTCATTTTGTTGGTCTTGATTGTCATATTTCTGATTTTACTCCTAACACTACAATATACAGAGACTGCAATATACAGAGAGTATTAAATTTAAATAGTGCAATATTTTGAGAAAAATCGTTAGTTGGCAAAAAAGTTAAGGAACTTAATCAATATTAAAAATATAAGTAAGTTTCGACATGTATAAAAAGCGTAACAATTTGGGCATTGTCTCAGAAAAAAGATTAAAAATTGATATATAAAAAATGAGAAGTCATCTATAAATTTAAAAAATGCTAATTTGCATTGTTAATATTTAAAAAGTAATTTATAAATTTTGAATGAAAATTTATAAATAATAATATTTAAATTATTAAATGTAAAAGTATTTAATATTTTGGCAGTATTTGTTCAATTTTAATTTATT